ACCACTGACACTCCATCGGATTAGCAATAATTGCATTGAAATAATACTTTGCTAAGATGAAGCTTACATGATCAAACAATATTATCATGTTTATTTATGTCAAGTATTCTCGCTTGAATAGTTTATTTAGCTTGCTGTCTTAGTTAATAATGGTTATAATCAGTATTATCAATATATGGTTGTAGAGATTGTTGTGTTTTGATTGAAATCATGAATGGATTGATGTTAAATCACCTGGTCTTAGTATGGATTTCCGCATCAGTGAGCATCAACGATTCTGAACACGGAACTCAAGTCCAAGACATTCGGTCTCGCGCGCGAGCGGTCAACCTCTAAACCACTGAGTCGACATCCAACAGCTTTATTGTCTAAATTCAGTTAATCCACGATACCACGAAACCGTCCTCTATTGTCTTCAGTAAGTAATTACTTCACACCAGACACGGTTGAACTCCACTGGTCATGGTTTCTCAAAAAAACTCCAAGAAATCCATCTTCGAGCTAGCTATTTGTGAGCACAGGTTTTCAATAGTAGTCTTAGATTGATCCAATAATCAGTATGACTGTATTTTGTCAAGAAGACGTCGCATGTTGGTTAGATTGGCCTTAATAAAACACTTTTCGCTTTTTACCTTAAAAGCCTTAGGATAATGGTTTCAGCTTGAAGTGAGTTCAATCTGAATGCATGTTATGAAATCAGAAATTTAAAACACTGAAACAAAGACCTGAGAGGGATTTATCGAATTTAAACAATTTCAATGTAAAGTTTTCTACAGATTTTGGACGATTAGGTACAAGACCATGAAGCAGTACACTTTTGTTACTATTGTACTAAGAAGTCATCTCAAAATGTATCATAGTTATCACATGTTTTATTCTAAAAACGAAGATATAAGCATTTTTTAAAACCTAACTAAATTAAAACACATTCTATATTAACAATCCCTAATCCCCTCATTTAATTCATATCGACTAAAAAATTATTAGGACCGAAAATAGCCTTTTTTGAGACCAACAGTGAAAAGCTGAAAGCACTAGACAGCTATTTTGTCTTAGAGTATATTGAAGACTCCTTGAGGAAAAAAACTTGAGAACTTCTTGTCTTTTTGTGACCTCTCAACCTTTAGGTCACTAATCTATGATTGAATGGCTTACATATTTGTCTTCATCCCTCAAGTGGTCGTTGGCGCACACCTCTTATGTGTCCCACATTAGTACAAGACTATCTAGTACCTCCCGATTTTCAATAGTTTGTCTTATGATCTTAATAACGCTCATCAACATCCACAAACCTTTTACACAGTCAATTAAATTTATTAGATAGTTATCATTCTTTATAGATTTTACCGACAATTATGGTCAATAAATATTTATTTAATTTATTACATTACATAATTTGAAATGAATTTCCTTAATCAAAATATACTCTCAACATTGAAAACAAATGAAAATTAATGACTACAAAAGTTATTGATCATGTTCTTTACAGGGGAAATACTGTTATTATTTTCTGTATGTAAACTTATTTACAAACCATTATTTCTTAATAATACAAAAAAAAATTGAAAAAAGAATAGTTTTCTGTAAGCGAAAATCATATAAATAAATTATACGTTTTTAATGTATTCAGATCACGTTAGTAACATTGAAACTCTGATTTCACGAACTGTTATATAATTTATTAAAAAAAATCACTTTCGACGAGTACCATTAATGGATTGAAGTTATGGTATAAAATATTTAAGAAATAAGAAATAAAACGAAAACACAGCATAAAATGACATAGAAAGATTGAAGTAATAAGTTGTAAACATTTTCAGTGGTGAAATGTTTAAATCTCTGAAAATAAAACAACTAAGACAGATACACATTCTTTGTTTGATAACATCTTATGTAACAACTATTTCTAATATGAATAATTCAGTATAAATGAATAAACACAACAATAATGCCAAGAGCATAATAAGAACTTATTGTTAGTAATTCAAATGAATATTTTTTATCTAATAAAGTTTGCATGAAAGGATTTATAGAATTTTAAAAATAAATAGAAGTAACTTCGACAATTCATTTAGTATTGATTGTTTGAATCTTCCCATCCATGTGTTAGGACTGCAACTGGTCAGTCTCTAATTGGCATATATGCAGAATGTGCGTATTGCCTCAATATAGCCTTAATTCACGAGTAATGTAAGCCAAGATGGATAGTGGCTAGCAGTGGAATCCAGGATGCTCGTTTTGTTTTATTTGGATGTACCCATCGTACAAGCAAGTGGCGATCAGGACTCAGTTTGGATAACGCGATGGCGTTTGAAGCGAAGGGTACTGGGTTCAAGTCCCAGAGTGAGCGTCAAATCTGATATGCGGATACATCCAGCTGAGGAGTCCCAAATGGGACGAAACGCGCGTCGTGGATTCCACTGACGGCCACTATCCAGCTTTGCTTAACTTTGAGAATGTTCTGTAAAGTTTTACATAATTTAAGTGACCATATTTTCCCATGAGTATGTAATATTCATAAACATAAATCTGCAATTCACTTCGTATTGTTTGTTTGAATCTCCTCATTGATATTTAGGACTGTAATTGGTCAGTCTCTTATTTACATGTGCATCCTGCTTGGACTGCCTCAATATCGCCTTAAGGCACAAGAATTATAAACAAAGATTGATTGCTGCTAGCAGTAGAATCCAGGACGGGCATTTCGTTTTATTCGGGACTTGTCACCTGGATGTACCTGCATTAATTTCAGTCGTAAACGCCAGTACAAAAATGAACACGATTGTGTTTAAAGCGAATGTTACTGGGTTCGAGTCTTGGATTGAACATCAACTCTGGTATGCAGGTACATCAAGCTGACGAAACGAGCGTTCTGGATTCCACCGATAGCCACAATCCATATTTGCTCATAATGAATTTAAGTGTTTCAGTCACAAATGTTAGAATGATGATCTACCTCTCGTATGAGCCGACTATTATAACCTACTGATTAGTGACTAGAATCATGGTGTTTAACTCTTGGTACTGGCTTAATTCTTCATCGGGAGTTTGGTCAAGACTAGAATTTCATATTAGGAAAATATATCATCAATCATGTAATCAAATTTCAAGGCTCCCTATCTGTTGTTATCAATCATCTAATATGATCCTACTCTTTTCCTTCAAAAAACCGTAACGTTTATTATGCTTATTTGGAATTCAAGGAAAAAGTGGATAATTTTAAACTTGATTAGTGCTGATAATACTTGATAAGAATATTGGAAATTAAATCGTTTCCCTTAACATTTTAATTACTTTTTTAGAAATAGTCAGAAAAAGTTTGGTGTAAAAGTCATATTATCGTTTTCCGTTTTAGACAAGTCACCAAAAGACATTTCACTGCTTATCTTATTCTAAATACAAGTTTCCTGTACTTATTTTAGAAACGACTTATAGCCCTTAAAAACAATAAACACTCATTTGTCAGTAAAGAAATCTGGAGATTGCTGAACTTTACTAAGACCACAAACCAATTTAAGAAATTTTATTGTATACACGAAAGCATTGTACGAAGGTCGAGAGTTCGTACGCAATACTGTAGGTCCCGAGTTCGATTCCAGTGATTTATCTCATGGATGTACATTACTGAGCGATCTCATATCAGTATATAACAGCCGTCCAGTAAGACAGGGTTTACAATGGCTGTCTACCTTAAGTGTGTGATTTTAATTAAGTACTTTATTTGTTTCCCATCCGCTTCGGAATTGATTTATGCACATTGAACGTCATCATTTCTTAATTTATTGTATCTTCACTTTGATTTGCTCATAACAATTTTCATATTAGATAGCTTGCGTATGACATACAGCACTAGAAAGCATAGTATTTACCATCCACAATGAGAAATGTTGTGCATTAAGAAAGTTGCTCGTGAGTCAAGTTTATTATACTACATAAATTTTAATTTTGTAAGAGCCAGCAAAGTTGACAACAAAGTATCATAGTTATGTTAATATAGATACTAAAAGATAACAGCTTTAAAGTCTATTGGCAATAAGTAGAGTAAAATGTTGAAACACTTTGTTTAGTGACCAAAATACATGTGTCAACTAAATAAGTATAAACAGTCATTTAGAACTTAACTGTGAAAATTATTGACATCAAATATTTAGAAACTCCAGTGATTACAAATTTATAAACCTAATGATTTATTTATATCTTCAAAATTGCAGGAGAATTTTATGGAGCTTGATGCTGCTTAGATAAGCCACCCATTCAAAAGTCATTTATAGATACAAATTGCAAAATCGACTTTAAATACGTGTAATTGTGAGATTTACTTCTTTATTATAAAATTTTATTACATATGTCCTTCATTTATACATGAATTACATTTTCTTCAAACCTTTGTTAATATGTTTATTATTACGTTTAATATACCTTAAGTAAGCTATTTGAAAACAATTCATTGATAAAACTTGCTGGTTATTATCACTTAAGGAAGACAAATGATAATTAAGCAAAAACGGATAGTGGTTTGCAGTGGAATCCAGAGTGAACATCAACTTTGAGCTGCAGGTACATCAAGCTGACGAGTCACAAATAGGACGAAATCCGAGTCTTTTTACTAGATTCCACTGCTAGAAACTATCCATCTTCGCTTATAAAGCTTGTGACTTCAGGCAATATAGAGGCAGTCCGCATAGGATGCACATATGCCAACAAGGAGACCGATCAATTGCAGTTCACAATAACAATGGGAAGATACAAGTAAACAACAACAAGTGAATAAATGAGAATTAGTTTCAATTGATCAAACATGTTTTTTTTTAAACTAAAAAACAAAAAGTTTTGAATAATCTACTAATGTTTTAAGTTGAATATTATTTTATGATGTAATATTTACATGTGATGACAGAGTTATACAAATAAGATAAAAGAAAATTTCAAAAAAAAATTCAGTCAAATATAATCTGGAAACAAAACCCAATCAATTCTAATAATGAAATAATATAACTTACCGATTTTTCCTTGGTGCCATAGACGTATCCACATAATTTTCAGTATCATTATTTTGTTCTTTTACAGACATATCCAGTTTGAAAATTCCAAATAGAATAATTTAATTATGATTACGTTAGTACAATTTAATAAAGATTTGTTCAATGTTAAAATGCTTTAAATACTGTGACTAGTTATTGCTACTTTTAAAAAAAATATAGAATTAAGTCACTTTCCGATTTTATTACAATCAATGTTCATTTCAGAAAAATGATATTGTCACTTTTCATTATTTCATTAACAGAACGTTGTAGTCGAATGGTCCCATAGAAACTATGATTATTATTATTATTATTACTACTACTACCACATTATATTGTAATAAAAATTCGACATTCAATCAATAGATTGTTTTGTAATACAATTGTGAAACTAAAAAAATAGTATGCACAAGTGGGTTAATAAATATTTTATTGAATTGACCAATCAGAATGATGTATTGATTAAATATAAGAACGAATAAATATCATTTTACTATGGATTGGTTTCTTTATGAAATATTATGATTTTACAATCAAAAAAAAATTATTTCCAAAAAACCGTATATAAAAATGTTTACTAAGTGTTATCAGTCATAAAATTGTTTAGATACATGTGTTGTTTAGGTTGTTTTTTTTTCATCTTCAAAAAATAGATTGCCTAAAGGTAATTTACTATTAAGATATAAATTTGTAGAAAATAAATATGTATTAGTTACCATATTTTCATGCAATAAAGACTAGATGTTATGTTACAAAATTTTGCTTTCTTCATAGATTCACCTATTTATGTACTATTTGATGGGAATAGATATCCTATTTAAACAATTCCGATGAAGTTTATTTAGAGTTTTCATATGTGGTTAACTTTGAGCTAAACTTACACATATTTAGTTATTCAAAGTAAAATAAACACATGTTACCGATAAATTAAAGATTGACCAGAATAATGAAAAACTCTAAAAAATATTCACACTCGATTATATTTAAATGCATTGTTCTAGTGATTATCAAACGGTTATGGGTATATAGATATATGACTTTTACAATAAAAAAATTGTCTTTTAAACCAACGTCGAGTGAATCTTTACAAATAATCTGCACAGACATATAATATAAGCAAATAAAGAATGCCAAAGTTTCTTTTTCACAACTTATTACTAGAGAATAGACAAAGTGGAAAACTTCACTATGAACTTAGTTTATAAAATATGGTGTATATAAATGATTGATATTTTAAAATCAATAATATGATTTCAGTTTGTTTCTGGAGTCCACTATGCTAAAGTTCTTCTTAAAGTTTGATCAACATTCCCCTTGATGAAAAAAATTTCGGTAATAATGATAATATATTAAAAATCAAATTTATTAGGTAAATAAACTCTTTGGATCAACAATACTGCTATAAATTATTATTAGCTTTATTGAATATTACATTTTATGGTACAATATAGAGCTCTCAGCACAAAGTCTTTTAACAAGTTTCTGTTCCTTTCTTCTTCCTCGATCTTGAGGATAAATATCGAGTGATCGCCAGTTAGAAGTTAACAGTCCAGTCAATCAAAACCTGAATAATGTACACTCTTTTCTCTGCATATTGTTAGCGACAACGATATCTCTGATTAGGTTTTTTGTAAGCTTTAAAGCGAGAGGTTGTACACTTTTCAGAAAGGCACCTAAATGGGTTATGTAGTTAATAGCCATAATGATGTATTAAAACAAACACAGTTGGATAACTTGTTGAAATATCTAGTTGGCAGGAACAGATAGCCCAGATGTTTAGGCAGATAAATTAAAATATATAATTAACAATATTATGTCGAAAAAGTGCAGACTGTTTTACCGAGCATCAAATGTTACGTATTTTAAATAAAAACAAATCATCTTCATAAATATTCACTGACAGTTTAATTGTGAATAAATCCAAATTAGTTTTTTATTGACCTTTGTCCAATTAGCATTTAATATAAAGTAATCCCATAATATTAAGTATTAAAGGGAAATCTTCAATGGTATGTCGATAATATTGAAGTAATGTCAATCGACTTTAACTGACTTCAGCTACAAAGCAACAAATATTTACAATTTAGAATTCTAAAAGGCTATCATATATAATTGGCTATAGCTATGTTAATAAATATGATGGTTAGCTTATGGAAATCGATACTCAACAAATGTAACATGAATTTGAACAATATGTCTAACAATATACGTGACCGTGTTAAAATGATATTTTTCATGAAGCATTAATTACAATGTCTGAATGCGAAACACATGGATTTTTGGAATGTAAATTAAGCATTTTTTTTTAATTTCACAGGAATTTCGATAGTAACTTTTCGGAATCAAAATATCCTATTTTTGTGATTACAACTGGTGGAATTTGATCTTTGTAGAACTAAACAAGAGTAAATTAGCACCTTTACCATTGTCAATATGTAAATTAGTTTTTTTAAAGCTATCTATCCCTAGTACATTTAAAAACTGTGGCCAATGCCTGATTGAACTGAATCTTTAGTTCTAAACTAGATCGTTCAATTAAAATCAAAGTCTTCAGAAATTCCTGTGTACCTCTTAAATCTGCAAATGGTAACGCTTCAAGATTTTCTGATATACAGCTGAGGTTTGTTTGTACATACCTAACTATGAAGTACACTTTTAGATAGATTACTAGCACATAATGCCCTGTTAAAAAGTGGCTCACGGTTGAAACATCATAAACCACTGAGTGATTACTATTTCACCTTAAAGTTTGATTCGAGTGTTTTTTTCTGTGTACATGTGCTTATAAGTTTTTTTCCATCCACCCCGAATAAAAAGTTATATGAATGAACAAACAATTGATTTTATTCTCCATTTAACTAACAGTCATTTTCACTATCTCACTAAAACCACTTTGACTAAATCATTGACCATAATTTCTCTATAGTTAAAGTAATGCTTACCCTGCATCCATACCTAACAGTACCGTCGTGATATTGATTAATAAATTGAAATACATTTATTTTGTTTCCAAACCTTATGGAAGGAATTACGATATATGCAATTGCATAGTAAGGAGCTTTGTGATCAATATTATTGGTAGGTGCAGATTGTTTATGCGTTCGGTTGTGGGTGCAGAATGTGGTGTAAATACAGTTATCAGCCATAATTTCTCTCTTTCTCCGATTAAGATACCTTATGCTTTTGCTAAAATGACCAAGTATTTGTTCCTAGTTACTAAGTATATCAGGTTTTTCTCCATTTATTTTGACGAATTCAACATAGTTAATTTTACTTTCAGTTAACAATCGAATCAATAAAGGCAATATTCTGAACCTCATCACCCAACTATATTCGATTCCTGTGGTTAAAAAAGCTTCGACCATAGTCTCCGATACATTTACATTTGATTCCTCCCTAATTTAAATGGACCCCTCACTATATATTTATAAATACATTTATCATGTAACAGTCTCTCTTTTTTCACCCACTTTTTTGTATCCATAAGGATAGTTTTGGTTTAATTTGCCTCAGAATTTAAGTGATTTTCATCTTCCAAGCTTTTAAATAATGTTAGCTTTTGTAAGTTCTTACCAGGAACTGCAATAGTTGCTGATTCGATCTACCGTTATTCTAGTGAGTTTCAGTCATGATTTAAGTTGTTCTCATGTTTAGATATTAGATTTTGTTTTTTCTAAATGAAATGTTTCCCACTGTGACTCATTATCAAGCGGTCGTGCTATTAATTCTTATTTTTCATGTCTGATTTTTTTGTTAGCTTCAGACGTGCAAGTAGGTTTAATGTTCTGTATTTAAAAACAAAGAATATTTGAGCAAACAATTATTCCCAATAACTTCATTACCGGCTTTTAAAGTTATAAGTCCTTAATTGTTCTAATACTTTACAAAGGCTAAAATAGGGAATGCATTAATGAATTTAACAATGTTACATATTAAAAATGTTCAACGTTTACATTTGTAACGGCATAAACACTTCAACATTCTGTTATTTGTAAAGTAGAGATGTTATCTAATAAAGGTCAGAATGCTTTGCAATGTCAAATCATAATAAATACAATAGTCATATAGTAATAAAATAAGGTAGTTTGATTGAGATCATGAATCGATGAATGTTAAACCACCATTGAAAACCCAGTCGTGCAATTTCATGGATTGATTGAAGTTAGATATTATTATTATTAGATGCCGGTTCATTGGTCTACAGGTTAGGCGCTCGCGCGCGAGATCGAAGGTCTTGGATTTGAGCCCCACGTGCGAGATCGGTAATGCGCACTGCTGAAGAGTCCTATACTAGGACGAATCAGCTGTCCCTTGCTCCCAGGTTTTTTAATGGTAGTCTAACATTCATCGATTCACGATCTCAATCAAAAACTTAATATCGACAACCCCACACTGATAATATAAGAATCATGTGGAAAAAATGCATAGTGGGGGAATTTCGTATTGGTAATGAATGTAATAATAACATTAATAAAAATAATAACGTTGTGTGTGTTATCGAGGTAATTACGATAAAAAGGAATTCACGTGAATTGGGAAAGATGAGTGTTAAGATTAAGACAGATATCAACAGAAAAAAAGTTTAGTGAGGAGATAATAGGTTATGTATTTCGTTTTACATTTTTGTTAATATATTTGCGGTTGTGATAACATACTTGTCATCTCAGCTTTGACGAGAGGAATATCGTTGATCTACATTTAAAGGTTTGATCGAATATAGACTGTAATGATTGGAAAATCCAACACTGGACACGAAAAGAGACAACGAAATACATTACACAGAATTCTAATAAACCACATCGGACACATTGAAAAAGCTTTTCTAGATATTTCTATTACATTATATTAACGTTGAGATATGAATTTTCTAGACCTTATGTTAATTTATTAATCACACATAAATCAGGCTAGGACTGTGATAAGTTACAGAGCGTGTTTCATTATGTATCGGTCGTCATCGTACATGGAATCATGTATATGATCTCTGAAGAAATCACATTAGATATAATTCTACAAGAAGTACTTGATTCGTACCATAGAAAGACCTCAGTATTGAATGATATAAAATATATAAAGATTAAAATAAATGTAACTCTTCATATATGTTTGATTGATGTTGATACTTTTAAATGACTTTAAACATACGGGATTTCAACGGAGTGCAACTCTGTTTTTTAGTTTATGTGGTTATACATTCGCTAAATATATATGATTAATAGGTAGTTCGAATTACCATAATCAAAAACATATTTAATACCAACTTTCTTCTAATTTCAAGCCTGAAATTATAAATTGTGATTTTGAATGTCATCCTTTTTGTTGATCATAGAAACTTGGCTGACTGATTATCATGTTAA